TTAACTACTGTTACTTTTTTTTTTTTTTTTAATCTAAAGGACAGTACCTTTCTCTAATCACCTCTCTTCCAATTCCCTTACCCTGTTCTTGAATGGTATTTTATCCTTTGGAAAGAACATGGCTGTGATGTAGCAACTATTGTCTGTGTCTCCTGTGTGTCTCTTCGTGTCACAAATGTATTTGGGGATGTTGAATGCATTCATTTTCTGTAATAAAGCTTCTTAATCAGTCATCCCCAAAAGTAATCAGTGGGCTGTCTGCAATCTGTTTGAGATACTGAACCTCTGTATTTTGAGTTGATTATAATCAAGGTTTTAGAAATACAAGCTTTGCTGTAACCACAGATCCAAACTAACATTTAATGGAAAGATAACATCAAAAAGGGCAAGTGTTAAAGACTCTGAAGCCCTTAGGTCAACCCTTTAGACAGAGGGGTAAAGGGGGGAATTGGCTCTGGAGCTCTATGGTGGGAAAAATATGCAATTTGCAGGATGCTAAAGTGGCTGTGTATTTGAATTCAGTCAGCCTTGCCAACCAGGGCTTCCTAAGGCCAAGGGTTGGGGCTTATTTGGCTGACAGACAGCCCAACAGAGTTTTGGGTGAGAGAGCCCTGGGGTCCTCTTGCTGTTCTTCGGCCCTGGCTTGGTTTCCTGTGGGACCCAGGGCTACTTGGGAGGGAATTACTGGTGAGCCACTTTGGCAGCTCCAGACTTCCCTTCCTGCTTCAACCAGAGCAAGCTCCCACCCTGTTTTTTAACTTGAGCATCCTTCTAAGATTTTAACTTAAAAAAAGAAGCTGGGTCACCATATTGATAAGATAAAAAGAAAAAAAAACACATCATCTCAATGGATACATAAAAAGTATTTGGTTAAATCCAGTACACTTTCATGATAAAAACACTCAGAAAACAGACTGAAAAGGAACTTCCTCAAACTGATACAGAGCACCAAGGAAATCCTACAGCTAATACAATGAAACAAAGCTTTTCCCCTAAATTCAGGAATAAGAAGGATGCCTGCTTGTGTAACTTCTATTGTACTAGAGGTTCTAGCCAGGGAAATTAGGCAAGAAAAAGAAAAAGCATTCAGCCTTGGTGTGGTAGCTCAGTTGGTTAGAGCATCGTCTCTATACACCAAGATTGTCTGTTTGATCTCCAGTCAGAGCACATGCAAGAATCAACCAATGAATGCATAAATAAGTGGAACAACAAATCAATGTTTCTCTCTCTCTCTCTAAAATCAATAAATAAAAATTTAAAATACTATTTAAAGAGAAAAATCAGACTGGAAATGAAGGAATAAAGCTATGCCTATTTGTGGATGACATGATCTTATATATAGACAATCTTAAGAAATTTCTAAATAAAACTCAAATACAGCAAAGTTACAGGATACAAGATCAATAAAGAAAATTTATTGTTTCTGTACATTAACAATGAACAATTTAAAATGGAACTAAATTCATTTACAATAACATCAAAAAAAAATACTTGGTAATAAACTTAACCAAAAAAGTGCAAAACTTATATGGGGAAAACTACAAAATGTTGAAAGACGTGTTAAAAACCTAAAGAAATAGACATGTCATGTTCGTGGGCTGGAAGACAATATTGTTAAGATGGCAATGCTCCCAAAATTGATCTAAACATTCAATGTAATCCCTATCAGAATCCCAGCTGGCTTTTTTAAAGAAGCTGACAAGACCATTCTAAAATTCATATGGAAATTCAAGGAACTCAGGATAGCCAGAACAATTTTGAAAAAGGACAAAGTTGGAGGACTCAGACTTCTCAATTTCAAACTTACTACAAAGCTCTAATAATCAAAACAATGTACTGGCTTAAGAACAGAACAGACAGACCAATTGAGAGTTCAGAAATAAACACATCTATGGCCAATTGATTTTCAACAAGGGTACCAATATCATTGAATGGGAAAAAGAATAGTATTTTAAACAAATGGTATTCACATACAAAGGAATGAATTTCAACCCCTACCACACACCACATACAAAAAAATAATAATTTAAAATGGATTAAAGACCCAAATGTAAGAGCTAAAACTATAAAACTCTTTGTAGGAGACAGGTGAAAACCTTTGTGACCTTGGACTTGGCAATGGTTTCTTAGGATGCCAAAAGCACAAAGCAACTGAAGAAAACATTAAATAAATTGAACCCTATCAAATTTTAAAAAATCTTTTGTGCTTCAAACAATACCACCAAGAAAGTGAAAAGAAAACCTACCAATGTGAGAAAATATTTGCAAATCATATCATAAGAATTTGGTATTAAAATATATAAGGAACTATTACAACTCAATAATAAAAAGTAAAAAAAAAAAAAACAACCCAGTATAAAAATGGCCAAAAGAACTAAATAGATGTTTCTCCAAAGTTTACCAATAAGCACATCAGAAGATTCTCTGCATCATTAGCCATCAAGAAAATACAAATCAAAACTATAATGTGATACCACTTCACTCCCACTAGCATGACTATAACATAAAAAAGAAAAAGGGATGTAGAGCAGCTAGAATCCTTATACAAGGCTAGTGGGAATATGAAATAGTGCAGTCTCTGTGGAAAATAGTATGGTCCCTTAAGTTAAACATAGAATATGAACATAGACTATGACCCAGTGATTCCACTCTTAAGTATACACCCAAAGAACTAGAAACAGGTATTCAAATAAATACTTGTACATGAATGTTCCTAGCAGCATTATTCATAATAGTTAAAAAGTGGAAACAAGACAAATGCCCATCAAGTGATGAATGGATAAAATATTGTCTATCCATACAAGGCAATATTATTTAGCCATGAAAAGGAATGAAGTGCCGCTGACCCATACTACCTAAGACTGGGAGTCAGTGGTGGGGTGGGCGGGATGAGGAGTGACTGTTAATAGGTATGAGGTTTCTGTTTGGGAAAATGAACGTGTTCCAAAATTAGACAGTGGTGATCATTGTACACCTCTGTGAATATAGTAAAAAGTGAATAATTTAAATGGGTGAATATTATGAAATGTGAATTATATCTCAATAAAACTTTTGAAAATAAATGGTAGGAAAAGTCCAGCATAGAGGGAAATATTTAAGCACAGAAGGAGAATATTCAATTGATGGGCCAAG